AAAACTGCTTAATTTTCACAGCTTGAACATTTGTAATTCAATGATTTGTAGGCATTAATGCAGAGAAAGTTCAGCAAAAGTCTCTGACACTGTCAAAAGAAATTTCACTGCTACGAAATTTCTTGATTTTGACTCGCGAGAATTTGTCTCTTGTAAAAGTGGCTCGGTTATTAAATACTGTTGATTGAAACGCAAATTCTACACACGTACCTGGATAATCCCTGTGGTTTAGTTTGTATTGTGACGTTTTTCTGTGACGAGGCAGCGGAAACACTGGATTTCTGGACAGGTGCAGGTTGTCTTGCTTCACGCATCACAAACGTGGGCGATTCACGACGTACTTCAGTGTTGCGTACATATGCAGGGTTTTCTACTCCATCTATGCTTCGTTTATAGCGATAATCTTCAGCACGTCGTCTTGATTGTGCACAACAGCTGATAAAACAAAAGCATAAGACAAGTTTTTTTATTTCAAAAAATTCCAACAACATTTTTAATCAATAATCTTTGGCACGTCGTCTTGATTGTGCACAACAGCTGAGAAAACAAGAGCAGAAGACAAGTTTTTTATTTAAAAAAAATGCCAACAACATTTTTGATTGATGCACGAGATAAGAAATAAGAATATTTTAATTTGTTCTGCTTATAAGAGTACTTACCATCTCCAGCATACTATAATCAATATGACAATGATACCAAGAGCTACAATACCAATAACTGCATATCCAAACCACCAAGGATCATACTCTGAACAAATAAAAACAAGTATTGATACACCTATCAGTATGTTTGTATGTTTCATATGATTCAAAACATTTTTCTGGGGGTTGGACAAACAGAAGACAATATTATATTGTTCAGATTTTGATTAAAATCATGGGACTGCACACTTGCACTAGGGTAACGTAATCTGAAAAGCCAATTCTTCTTTTACTATGGATACATTACTGATAGTTTTATATTTCTATTGCATTAACATTTTGATGAACAATTATCGACAGTTGTTTTGAAGACAATTGGGCAGGGTTATACAGACAGAATCTAGAAAATAGAAAGTGCCTGTATAAACATTTCCCCATTCTGTCATAGGTTGTAAAATTGTCACATGTGATGAACATAAGCAAATACTATTGGCGTATTTCACAAACTCACCAGTACTCAACGAGGATGTCCACTCAGTATCTGTATATTGGTATTGATCAACATATGCTCTCACTTTTACACTGCAAATACACATTCAAATGAAATCAGAATTACATGTGCATATCATAAAAACACTACCTTGTAAATAATTCTGTTGAAATACTGTAAAGATACAGTTGAAATTGAGAAAAAGCTGAGTTACAGGTGCGGTAAAGGCAAGTTACAGTTTGGCAGAATACACATATTTATATTATATATAATAATGTTTTTTTGTTCTCTGTATTAGTTTAATTTATGATTGGATTTAAAACCCACCCAACTATGAACCTAACACTTACACATATTGTGACAATGGCTGCAATGGACCATTACAATATTTATCAGTGTCCAAAGCACAATCTTCTGAACCAATCACATAGTCTGCCTGGGAAGCGCGCTTCTTTCGTCGTCCGGCAGAATCGGATGTAAATGGGTTAAACCGTTCACTAGTCTGATAGATCGGCCATGGTGTCAGACTCTGTACTTCTGTCCACCCGAGCGGTTCATCCGAGGCGGCCAGTGGTTTAGCTATTGGTAGAAAGAAGAAAACATAAAGATATTAAGTATTTATCAAATTCATAAAAGAAATACTAGCTAAACAAAAAGTTTTCAAAATTTTAGTAAATGAATGGATAGTGCAACTGATCCATTAAATAGGAATGATCCATTTTAAGGGTAGGAATGTCTGTCCTTTTATTCCCTCAGCTTTATTTTCAATGACTTGTATTTCAAGTTTGGCTAATTTAAGTCTGTATTAAATTTGCTTGTTGTAATTAAAAGACAACCTCAAAAGTTTAATGCACTATAACAATGGATTTTCTCTCAGAACACTATATAAGCAAAGACACTATCAAAACAGCCTAAATTAAAGATGAACACTAATTTGCATAAAAAGGTGGTAGGTTTGTCTTGAGATTTTGCGATCATCTCGCAATACATGCAACTTTTTTAATTTGCATGAAATCTTAACCACATATTCTTGATGTATCCTTGATACGGCAAAATAAAAAACACAACATTGTCTCTTACCACTAGCTTCTGCAACAAGAATAGAATACGATAAAATCGGTCCCCGGCTATCATCGAACAAATCATCCCATAAAGTGATTGTGATAGTTTTATGAGTAGAGCTTTTGAATAATTGACGAGATAATGCATCAGAGCTCGCTTCAGGAACAGGCGGAGGGGATATAGGCAAAGTGAGTGTTCTTGGTACACTCGGTTCTTCAGTACTATTTCCCTGATCACTTTTAGCTTGAATCTAGAAGTGATTAAATCACATAATGAGGTAGAATGATGTATGAATTGGAATATTTAAAAACAATTCATTTTCATTGGCATTTCGTTTTACTATTTTGATGTCTTGAGCAATTTCACTGGGTTTTAATTTCACAAACTCGGCAGCAAAACAAGTAGTTCTTTTGTTATTTTAATGTGAACATGAATTTAATTTTACCAAATTTCAGCCTGAATAGTGAAATTAAAATCCAGTAAGCATTTTCAGTATTTATTGCATCAAAAATAGATAAAAATTTCATAACAATGCATATGATGGGACTTTGTATACCATATTTGAGTAAATGACAGATGTGCATATGGTCATAATACCTTATTTGTCCTTTTCGTAACACATGCACTTACAAAAGTACGTAAATGACAGATGTGTCTATAGGTCATAAAAAATACCCTATTTTTTGTTAAAACAACCATCTCGGATGAACAGAGAGGAATCAATTAAAATAAAGCAGAAATTGTTGAAGACTTACAGTGAATGTATATGTATATCCAGCCCTCAAACCAGCAAATCTTTGATCGGTGTATTCAACTACAGTAGGATCAGCAACAATCAACACAGGATTCAGATTATGTACGTCCCCGTCAATCTACAAGTTATTAAAAATTACATTGTAGGTACTTTTTCAACTCATCTCTTAAGAGCTAAACACCAGACATCCCAAAGAAACAGATGGATTATGCATGAAAAAAATACAATTTCAATTGAAAACAAGCTATGCATGTCACAGTCCCAGTTATAGGTAGTTCAAATTTAAGACACATAGTTTTGTTTATAGTAATATAGTCAGAATTATGGATACAGAAGATGATGCTCATTATGATAATTTTTTAACATTAAAATGATTGACATCTTATATCTAATCGCCAAATGAGTACTTGAGAAATATTGCCCTAGAACAGCATTAATTAGAACAAAATTTTCATCAGTCGGCATTTTGAATACATCTATATATCTATAACATGATGTAAAACGAATATATAAAATCTGAACATAATCATGCAGTCAAAGCATATCAGAGATATGGCTCTAGAAGCACATTCATTTAAACAAAATGGCCACCAGTCAGCCATTTTGAATCAGATCTGAAAAATAAAATGATACGCATCAGGAACCTATATTTACCGAGTTTGAACAAAAACTATCTAAAACGCCAAAATCCAGTTCTGGAATGCCAGAATGCTTGATTTTTGATGATATTTTTGCACAAAAATGGCTGCCATTTGGCCATTTTAAATCAGATAGTCAAACCAATATACCTATGTCATGATGGACAATGAATATATAAAATCTGAACATAATCAGTCAAAGCCTTGCAAAGATATGGCACTAAAACTGCATTCATTAAATAAAAACAAAATGGCCACCAGTCGATGTAGTAAGGGTACTCAAATGCAATATTCCCCTGTCAAAGATCGGCCTCTCGATGTGAGCCACGAAATATAAAAAGAAATTGATGTTCAAAATCATTTTTTTTGTTTTTGCGGCAGATGTACGGCATGCGTCTTTCTCGCAACTCGCAAGATCTCGCAGTTGACGGAAAATCACCTATTGAATCTATTAACAAACAACTGTCAGGTTTTTCAGCCATTCACGATGAGAACCATCGCCTACACACGAAAACACGCTACTGATGCACTGTTGCTGCACGGTTGACGTTAGAAAAAATGGTGTTGCAGCAACATTAACATACTTGGTAACAGGGCAATGTGCTACAGATACAACCTAGAATGGCCAATAGACCATTTTCCGTACACTGCGAGAATCATGCGTTATGCGTGAAATCGAACATAAAAACAGGACAAACAAAGGTCATAGCGTTGTAGTCGCGTCAAACATCGCGTGGGATTCGACAAACGCAAAAGTATTTTGGGGACATTTCCATGCTTAATAATGTGCTGTCCACATTTGATGATAGGCAATTTCGATTAAGTAAGGGTATTCGGAAGCAATATTCCTATGTCGAAGATCGGCCGGTCGGTGTGAGCTACGAAATAAGGAAATTCAAGTTCAAAATCAAATCGTTCGTTTTTTGCGGCAGATGTTCGACGCGCGTCTTTCATGCATCTCGCGAGATCTCGCAATTGTACGGAAAATCACCTATTGGCCGCCACTGCATACGTTTAATATACAAACAGGAAAAACTGACAAGTGTACAGAATATACATACCGTACTGGTACCAGAAGATTTTATGATGTACATTTCGATAATACTGTTTGGTTTTTCCGGAGCCTTAAATGATGCCACTACAGTCAAATCATCAAGTGCAACTTTGAAATCACGTACAGGACCAGGTACTAATGAAAATAAAATACAATAAATTTCACCATGCAGCCACCTTTTAACAATGTTTCCTTTACGGTTTTATCATTAGTGAATACATTAATTTAATTCAAAGACAAAATTATATAAGGTAATGTATAGGGTTGTGAACCCTCTTTTTCTGATGTCCACCTCGAAGTAAGACTGATCGATCTTGCACAATATCCACTAAAATCTACTTGTTACTGTTTCTAGTGTCATAAAGTTTGACTGGGAATCACTCACCATCTGGAAAAGTTCTTTGTTGAAACGTTGACGCTTGACTCATAAGACCACCTTTCCTGGAGCTCACACTTATAATGTATGTCACAAAAGAATCCAAGTTACTAAAAGTATACATTAGTTCTGTTGTTGTAGCAACCTCAATTAACTCATTTGACCCAAAAACTGCAATACTGACTTCATACTCGTCTGCTTCTCCACCAATGGGTTCAGTCCAGCTGACTTCAATCAAAGATTTGGTCACTTCGATTGATTCAACAGGGCCTGGTGGATAAGGTCCTGCAGAGGAAATTATGGTACAGTTTCATAATTAATGTTGAAATATCCTTGTGCTTGAAAGCAGTTTCAAATCAAACTTGTCTGTGTTCCAAGTGAGAAAGAATATCAAACAAATCAATGAGATATACAGGAAGTGATTTAAAGTGATGATTACATTAACCCTCTGAGCGCCAAAGTCAACTTTAGTCAACATCAACAAAATAGTTCCATTTGTAGTATAAATTTCAACTTTCTTGATCAAAAATTAGAAGCAATGTCACATTTTGTCTGTTTGGTCCAAATCTAACTTTGAATTCATTGAAAATTACAGAAAATGTGAACATTTTTTTTTACCTCAGTTTGCACTCAAAGCATTTGAACGAAAATTAGGGGGGGGGGATATCAGACAATGGATTTTTTAACAGAGTTTTAGTATATTGCCAATTTAATGTCATATAATAATTAGCACAGTAAAAGTTGTTCACCAACATAATGATAGGCATTACTGAGAGCTGTAATACTGATAAATAATCCTTACGTGTCGTGATCTGTTCTGTTGTAAGAGATGTACTCTGTAAACCTCCACTGTATGCAGTGATGGTGAATATGTAAGATTGTGCATTATCCAAACCAATGATTTCTTTAGACGTTTCCAATGGCGACGCTGATATCTGTGGTGCTGTCGGTGTGGTGTACGGACTGTATGTGATGACGTATTCATCCACTTCACCGGTAGATGGTTCCCAAGACACTCTCACAGATATGGGACCGATGTCATCTGGATTTACTGTAACACTTTGAGGTGGTGTCGGAGCTAGTAAATAAAATCACAAACCAGGTTATCTTAGCTACATGTACAATAGACGAGTTTTGAGGTACAGCACCTACAATCAGTTTCCATGCGAGCATGAGGGGTTGATTTCTAGCTGACGCATTTTATTCGCTGGTTCTCCTGGATACCATCGTTCTGATGAGCTATCAAACGTTTACGCTGAGGAATCAACTCCTCTATGCAAATGAAATTGGATAAAAACTTGATCATTTAGTCAGATGGTAGATGGTGACAATGTTGCCAGTGATTAATCTGCTGCCAAATTGATTACAGAGTATACATTAATTATAGCCTAGGCAGGTGATCAGATTGCATAATTTCCTTTTTAATGTAAATATCATTGTCATTAATAATTTCAACTTACTCATTGTAGATAAGTATTTACTAAGGTTACTAATACAAGACATATTTGGACAAATTACAAAGTACAATGGAGATACATGGTTGTTTTGAAAGCTTATAGGTGAAAGCTAACTATTAACGTTAAGTTCCACTACCCTGTACATACCAGTAAGGTGGTAACCTAATAGGTAAAGCCACATACATACATGTATGATAGAATGAGGAAATGTTAGTTTCCTAATGTTTTGTTGATCCATATCAATTTCAATGCATGTATTCCAAATGCATTATTAAATAAATGCTGAACATATATCTTGTTGTAGTGTTAGACAGACTGAATACAAACAAAAATTAAAACCACGTCACTACATCATTTTTCATTTTTTCCCTTAAACAAAACCCTCTTTTTGGCTGGCTTTAAAATGAATTTGACTGAAATTTGTCGAAGAAGAAATTAGTTGAACAGATGATTACAGTGTGAATTAAATCAGCAAAAAATTTGGAATTGCTCCACTGGTATAAATTAGTGTTGAAGATCAAAAGTAAATAAAGCAGAAAAACGCAAAACAAAAAACAATGCGATTTAAAAACAAACTCACTAGTGGTTTGTGCAACAGTTGCGGCAACACTGTTAACCTCTGTACTTCCAACTAATACAACAGTTTTCAGACCAATATTGTACTCTCTGCCTGGTTTTAGATCTACAAGAGTGTATGCTGAAACAGTGTCAGGAACGTCAAAGTCAGCAACTCCGTCATCCCGAGGAGGGTTTAAAGTAACTATGTATCGATCAATGTTAACACCAGTCGGCTGTACCCAGGATAGATCTATAGATGTTGTATCCGAGTCTGTGATAACAAAATCCTCTGGAGTTGGTGGTTCTGAAATGATATAAAAAATAAAAAATATGTGATACAAAAAGCTGATGCTGAGTGGAATTAATTATTACAAGTGTTTTTGATTTCACTAAAGTAACAGTATAGTAACTGTTTAAATACCGGTAACAGTGAAATCTGAGGTTTCAGATATGTGATACAAATATTTTCAGGTAAAAATGCACTTCAAGAGGTGGCACCCAAAAAAACAAGTCATTGAAAATGACACAGTCCCCGTTAAATTTTTAAAAGTTCTCTTTGTGCTAGTCATATTAAAGCGAAGAAGTTGTTGTGAGCGTGTCCTTGAAACTTGAGTTCCAAGTGGCGTATACAACAGATTGTTTATTTACATCAAAACACGTGTTCCTTGTAGTAGTAATATGGCCAAAAATAAAAACAGCCATTATTCGGCCATCTTTGATCTGATTATTAAACACACTGATATGTATGATGTATGTGCCAAATATGAATGAAAATGGTACATAAATTGTGGAAATATAGCAGTAAGGCCAAAAAGTCAGATGGCTGTCAATCGACCATCCTTGACCAGATTTTGAAACAAATTGTCATGGACATGCATCCTAACATGTATAAAGTACATGTACATGTATGTGCCAAATTTGAATGAAAACTGAGAGAGCACGTCCATGATACCGCATAAAAAAAACAAAAAAAACAAGATGCCTGCCAGTCGACCATCTTTGATCCAATTGCGAAATAAATCGTCATGGACATGTATCCTAACATGTATAATCTATGTACCAAGTTTGAATGACAACTGACAAAGCATGTCCAAAATACAACATTTTCAAAAAACAAGATGGCTGCCAGTCGGCCATTTTGAATCAAATCACCTAAACCACACATGTGCATATATCCCACATAAGGTACTAGGCACATGCAAAGAATGAACGGAATCGGTCCATAGGATTCTGAAATATGACTCTGGACAGAGTGACTGACGGACGGACGGACGGACGAACGGACAGACACACGGACAGACTCAGGAACTCACAGATGGTCGGGGACATGTATCCTAACATGTCATGGACATGTATTCTAACATGTATAATCTATGTACCAAGTTTCAATGAAAACTGACAAAGCATGTCCAAAATACAACATTTTCAAAAACAAGATGGCTGCCAGTCGGCCATTTTGAATTGAATCGCTAAACCACTGCACGTGCATACATTGTATGTCCCACATAAAGTACTAGGCACATGCAAAGAATGAACGGAATCGGTCCAAGGGATTCTGAGATATGACTCCGGACAGACGCACAGACGCACGGACGGACGGACGGACGGACGGAGACCGAATTATAAGTCCCTGTTTTCGGACTTCGTCCGAACGGTGACTAAAAAATATAAGAGCTAGACACACAAACTTTGAAACAAGTATTTATATTAAATCAGAATATATAGTAAAGTGAAAACAGTTGAATAAATATTTTTTGATTTGTTACACTAACAAGCCAGAGTTAACATAACCGACGGCAGATGCCGCAGACAAAATCTTCCCCATCCTATACCTTAGCCTTCTCATTTATGATTAGGGCAAGTTAAAAAAGTAGCAATAGAATACGCTCCAATGCATGATTTTGGATGTTATTATGTATTTTTTTCTCATTTGCTACAGATCTTGATCGAGTTTTTTAAATAATAAAGTAAACATTTTTTTTGTAAATTTGCTTGAAAAGTAACAAAAGTAGAATTCAAAGACAAATGGAGCCAGAACATCAGTCAAAACTACATGTATCAAAGCACTATTGCGAAATCATCAATATAGTTTTGTTCAATTCTTGCTATCTTCAAATAATGAAGCAACAGATAAACTTACTAGTATACACAGTAGTTTGTCTAGTGTCGCTCCGATGGTTGCCAGCAATTGTCTTAATTCCAATTGTATATGCACTCGCTGACTGGAGGCCAGTAAACGTGTAATCTGTTTTCGTGGCATCAAGGATTGCAGGTGAATTGTCGTTGCCATTGTCAGGACTATAACTGATCTCATACTGGTCAACAACACCTTCTGATGGAGACCATGACAAATGGATGCGATTTTCAGTAACATCTGCAGCATTCACAACGATTTGACCCGGCACGGCTGGCTCTGTAAACGTATTAAATATAACATGTCAATCAAGTATTTACAGACTTTGTAATCGCAGTTTTGTTTTTGAAAATCTGTTATTCTGTGAGGCTAATGTAAAAGTACACTATTGACAATTTGATACATGTTGAACAATACCCGGTTACTTACTAGCCTTGTTTTAAAAAATAACTTTTAGGTAGAGCAAGAATAAACAAGCAGCCTCTCAGCTAACTTGCTGACAATCAGACTATTGGTTTTCAACAAGAAGTCAAAAACATCACTTTTTACCAAAAATGACAAAACTATTCATCAAAATTAGAGATTTGAAGATATCATAACGAAATGAATAAATCTGAGAGAGGTACATATACACCAAGTATCAAAGCGATTGTAGTTTTCAAAAAGAAGTAAAGTTGACACGGATGACGGACAATCACTCATATAATGAGCTCCGCTCGACAAAGTCGACAGTGAAGCTAAAAAATGATCACCCACCCACCCTCCCCTCCAAATGAAAATATAGGAAAAAATTACATACACTTGTTTTGGAAAGGTATGGTCCATGCATACGCATCTTTTTTTTAAAATGGGTCACCAAGCTTTCAATGCATAATTTGATGCTGAAAGGTCAATATGATTGCACTGGTACATTGGTGGAAATTTGCCCAAAACTAAAAAAAATTCTTATTATTTTGCACTTGGACAAACAATTGCTGTCGGCCTATAGTCCAGACTGCCTCAAGTAATTAATAAATAATAAAAAAGTAACCTGTCGGCTGAGATGACAATTTTATTCAATGACATCAAAATTAGATAATTGAAGATATCACCACGAAATGAACAAATCTGAGAGAAGTCCACATGTAGTACCTATATGTATAATATCAAAGCAATTGGACTTGTGGTTTTTAACAAGAAGTCAAAAATATCACTTTTTACCAAAAATTACAAAAATATTCACCAAAATTAGAGAATTAAAGATATCACCATGAAATGAACAAATCGAAGATAGGTCGTCCCAAGGTACATATACACCAAGTATCAAAGCATTCAGGCTTGTAGTTGTTAAGAAGAAGTCGAAAAAGTAAAACATTTACATGGACGACGACGGACAATCACTAATATGATAAGTTCCGCTCCACAGAGCTAAAAAAGCTGTACTTTTTTACCAAATGATTCTGGTTGATGCTATTTGGAATAAAACATTATCTTGTTTACATGCATTTTAGTAAACTACTATATTCAGGTTCATGTCTAAATGTATTGGTCAATGTATTCATGATAGTTCATGTGAGTGAATTGATAGAAGCATCTTGCATTGATTCTCTGTCTAATTAATATTCATGAATAAGTCTGCACAGAAGAGCTACTTGTCTACAGGCAGCTTTGACTGTATTTCCAAACATGTGTATTTATTTTTTTTTAAACAAAATTTTAAAGTGATGTGCAAAATATAAGAAAACTTGAACACACTGAGGACTGTGAGGTCAATAAAATATCAACAAATTGGAGTGGTTTGTAATAACACCAGGATACATACTTGTTCTTTCAGTGACAATATCAATGCCGTGATCAGTGAGGTTATTCCCAATAGCTGTCTGTACTGTGATCTGATATTCACGACCGGGAGTCAAATCAGAAAACGTCTGAGAAGTCTGTTCTTTAAGGATAGATATCGGTGATTTGGGGTTTCCGTCATCCGGGCTTTTTGATATCGAGTACAGCGTGTAGTCTCCACTTGGTGCGGTCCATTGTATTGCGATAGTGTCTTCAGAGATCTCATTCACGATAATATCTAAGGTTACGGGTTCATCAGCTACCATAAAAGACAAGCATAGTTGAAACATGTAAATAAAAATACAAGAAAAACATTTCCTTCAAATTTGGATTCCCAGAATGCACTATATATGTAGACACCCAACTGGTTGCCTCATCACTATGCTAACTATGGAAAATGATGAATCAGTTATTTATATGATCAAAAATATCGAAACATTGTGGCAATAAATGTTGTCTATAAATCACAAAATCAAACAATTTTCATTGCAACAAATATAATCACTCCAGGCCATTCATTTGCAGGTATTTTAAAAGATTCTTCTAAACTTGATTTCAGGTTTCTGGAGATGGATAAAATTTCTCATGAACTGTGAAAAGCCCAAATGTTGCTTATAGATGCCAGTGAGCGGTCTTCTACAGATCATACAAATTGGGCATCAAATCAAATCTAATTTTGTATGCAAATTCATTGAAAATAATTAAAAACATTGAGCATTTGAAAGAGAAAAATTAGTGTTCCCCTTGGATACAAACAGACTGGTGGTATAACCACAGTGAATTGATTTACCACCACACTACTCTGACACAATTAACCTGATTGCCACAGTGGTTTACTTGCTTTTGACTCATTATAATTGATTAATTTGTAATACAATATAAAATAATTGTAAATTGTAAATAAATAATTCTGGACATTGAACGACTCAGCAAGTATGTTAATCATCAAAATTTTTAATTTAAATAATTATGATTTAGTGATTTAGCAAGTGTGTTAATCATCACAATTCTTATTTTTAAATAATTATGGAATTAATAGATTAGTATGTAAATAGTGATTCAAGTTTCTTTGGAAAAGACTGAATTATAGGAAATGGAAATTTGACAAAACTGAGGGGTACTTACGCGTAGTTGTAATAACTTCACGGTGGATACTTTCTTTACCATTGGACAATGAGAATAATCTTATAGTGAATTCAACATTAGGCTGCAAACCAGTGATGACTACGGATCTTGTATCGGCCGCAATAGTGTAAGGTGATGACAAATCTCCATCAGAAGGAGTGTATGTCATTTTATATTCATCCACGACGCCATCAGCGGCAGCAAAGCTAAGTTTTATATGTGATGCTCGGACTTCATTCAAAGTGATCTCACCTGGTTTTGCAGGAACTGATAAAGTAATTTATAGTGCAACAAAGTTAATATATTAAACAGTCCTAAAACGACTTCACATTATCACTATTATTTTGATAATTGTGGTTATCCATCAATGAAACAATTGTTGCTGGTATGAACAACAACAGTCAATCATAGTTGCCAATATAAATAATGGTGACATCACAGCCAATCATAGTTGCTGAATAAATAGGCCGACATCACAGCCAATCATAATGGCTGATATAAATAATGAAATAAGATCACAGCCAATCATATTTGCTGAATAAATAATGGGATGACACAACAACCAATCACATTTGCCAATATAAATGATGGATGACATTACAGCCAATCATAGTTGCTGAATAAATAATGGATGAAACCACAGCCAATCATAAGTGATGGTTAGGCCAGTCTAATCCATGCACGACGCATGACACATGTATGAATTTGTGTAACACATTCAATGATATCTGTACAGTACCCTTCAATGAGTTGACATGTCTTAGTGAATCCCTGTGCCATTACAGCATCATGACTTACCTGTGTTGTCACTGATATACACTGCTTGACTTTCCTCCTCACCAGATAGTGTACTAACACTGACAGTGTATGTCTCACCAGGTGTTAACCCTTCCAGCGTGATCTGCGTAACACCTGACTGCAGTTCCGTTGGTGAGTCAGTCACAGCATCTGGGCTGTATGTTACAATATAGGAATTGAAAACGTTCACTGCTGCCTCCCAAGATACTGTTAAGGAGTTGGTGGTCACATCTTCTACTGTGAGAGCTCCTGGAGAAGATGGTACTGTAGCAATAGAAATTTAACTTTAGTAGAATGAACACTATTTCATGTATTATACATTCATCAAGATACAGTGTGACTAAATCATGCAACATTGACTGTGGGTTAAAAATTGCATTTTAACTTGCACCTTAATTTAAATTCTGGTAAAACTTTTTTAAAAAAATTGGATGGTGAGGTGATATTCTTTTTACTGAAATATCTCGGGGAAATTGCTCTATGTGCAAATTCGAATGTAAAAACAGGACAAACTTAGAATCCTGAAAATTTTCTTATGAGTAATCAGCCTAAATAATTTGCATATTACTCAGTATTTATAAATAAGAGAGAGCCAGCTTGCAAGTAAAATTACACAGTCAGTACTCGATAGGTTTAGTCTTTTCCATGAAAAGAAACCCTAACCCGCATTTTTTTTCATTGGCCTAATAATATCTGAGAAAATTTCACACTGCGAAACACGAAATGAATAACACCATTGGTGTTTAACAATTCCAAAATGGCTGTCACAACATGTCAGCACAGATGAATCGAGCTGCAAAGTAGACGGAAAAGAGGTGGAAACTGAATATTCTCGACAAATTTATTTCTGTGACATGGCGATGTTTGAAGTCATTCAAAATTTAAGGTTAGGGTTAGGGTAAGGTTAGGGTTTTGTTTTGTTTCGTTTCGTGGAAAAGACTAAGCCTACTCGGTACACAAGACTCACCTGTTCTTTGAGTCAGGCTCAAAGCATCACTGGTAGACTCTCCTCTCTTAGCAACAAGAGATATTGTATACATATCACCTGGTCTTAGCAGTTGTATTGTAGAAGATGTCTCAAGTTTATCAACTGTTCTCTCAGAAGCTCCGTCCGAAGATGAGGGTGACCATGACAACTCATACTCATCAAATAATGTACTTGCTGGTTGAGACCATGTGACTGTTATTGATGTGTCGTCATAGCTTGTTACAGATAAATCCACAGGTGGTAAGGGTGCTGAAAAGTAAACACATAAACATTGGTCGTACTAGTTAAATCAAGGTAATATGATGGTAAATTGGCATATAAACCTTCATAAATAATCACACTATTTAATAAAGTTAGTAATTTAAAAGTTATTTAAAACAAAGGCTATTATAGCTGTTTACAGTACAGCAAACCCGAATCATTTTGAATAGAGAAAATTAAAAATAGCTTTCTGTTTATAAAATTGATTATTATTTTGGTCTTTGAGCAAAGGCAAATTTGCAAACATTTTGCTGGATGGATGGTTATATAAATGTAGTCTTTATACACATGTTGCTCAAAGCTTGTG